GTATGTCTTTCCAGGGTGTGTCCCACTGAACACTCCCCCTTCTAGCCTCTACCTCTCAGTAATACATCATATTTGGAATCCATGAAGGGGATTGAAATATCAACCAATTCTCAAAGCCAATTCTCAAACAGGCCATCAAGTCTCCAAAAACAGAGCTTTTGGAAAACTCCTGGTTTAAGCTTTTGGGAACTCCTGGTTCCTTAGATAAGAAACAAAAATTAAAGCTGGCACACACCTTTAATTCCAGAACTTATGAGGCAGAGGCAGGTAGATCTCTGAGTCTGAGGCCAGCCTGGTCTGGAACAAAGTGAGTTCCAGAACAGCCAGGTCTATGTAGAGAAATCCTGTCTTGAAAAACCAAAATAGATGATAGATAGATAGATAGATAGATAGATAGATAGATAGATAGACAGATAGATAATAAAAAAGAAACAGGATTTACAAATAAGAACAGAACATAAACCCTTAATAGAGTTGGAGAACAATATGTCTGCGCATATTGTTTATATGTAAAATATTTTGACTCAGAAAAGGCAGAATACACAACCACATATGAATACATGGTGTTCTATATGCTCAGACCAATGTAGTGTCCTGAACTACGTGTCTGGGATGGTCACTTGGGTATGGAAAATAATTATGTGTGTGGAAATGTGCATGTCAGTGACTATGCAAAGAATTCTTCCTTCTCTCACCCCTCCCAACCCTGTGCTGGCAATGCCTTCAAACGCACAGTCCAGACCTGTTAACATTCATAAGATCACAAGTACTTAGCTGATTGCAATGAGAAGGGCTGGGGAAGATATTAAAACTTCATAGGTCAAGAAAAGGCAGGAAGTACAACAAGAACCAGCAGAGCCCTGGAGCCATTTGTGGTGCTTCTTCCTGGGCTGTCTAGGTTGACTAAAGAACCCACTCAACGGGGTCTGGAGAGATGGCTCAGTGGTTAAGAGCACTGTCTGCCCTTCCAAAGGTCATGAGTTCAATTCCGAGCAACCACATGGTAGCTCACAACCATCTATAATGTGAACTAATTCCCTCTTCTGCAAATAAAATAAATAAATTTCTAAAAAAAAGAACCCACTCTGGGGAGGAGGCTGATGTCACCTGCAGCTTGGAAACTGACTCTATACCTCCCAGCTCCTTCTGGGCCTGGGTAGAGAGAAAAGATGGGCATTCAGGCTGTGGATGAAAGAATTGTAGACACATTCAAAACAAGCTTAAAGTGGTTTTAACCGAAGAATCTTTGGGAACTGCAGCCGCTGGGTTAAGTTTGCTGAGCTGCGTTCTCACTAATGGATTCTTCCTGAGCCGGCCTTCTGGGATCTGATCATTCCACCCTCTCCGTACCAACCCCAATGTTCAACACACACTCCTGGAGGAGGATACGCCCGCTCATCCAGCCCGTTTTACCTTCTTAGGGGAAACCAGATTATGTAGAGCCATCAGACAGCGCCTGCTCCTGAAAAGAAATGGAACACATTTTATTGGCACAGCCAAGATGAAGTATGTCTTGAAATCTGTTTTACAAATAAACTCGCTCATAAATTGTCCATTCGCTGCTCAGAAACCTTTTTTTTTTTTTTCCTGTTCGAGGTTGAGGAGCTGTCAGAGGTCCCTAATAAACACCGAGTCTTATTTAGTTTACTGGATATGTAATTCTTCTTTTCTTTGGAAATAATTATTTTTCAAGCAAGTGCAGCAGAAATATAACCAATAAACATCTGGCTATGACAGCATAAACAACCTTTATAGCAAGCCCATACATTGAGTGCGCCAATAAAAGCACCTCTGGTAAGAAGGGAGCGAGGAAATTGGCTGTCTTGTCCCCAGATGGAGCTCCTCCTCCTGAGGGTACAAAGACTGCTCACAGTCACTTTCCATTTCTGTGCTACAGAAATGTCTATCAGAGTGGCAGGCAGACAGTCCGACTGCCCGAGTGCCTGTGGGTTAAGGAGGAGTCTGGCCTCATGGTCCAACGTATCTACGTGCTTTGGTGAAACCTGCCTCTCAAGGTCCATTGTGGGCAGCTCTTTTCAGTGCCATTGTGGGGTAGGAGGACCTCAGCCTTCGGCCACCCTCATTACTAGTTCAGGCCAGCTGTCACACAAGGTATAGATGGCTATACCTGCGCACGGAACAAGGACAGCCTCCTTTAGGAGACTTCCACCTCAGGATTCTTTCTGTTCAGGGCTGGGTTAACCTGGTCTTTCCCTCTCCAGGACTATGGAAGAGGGAGATTTATTCAGGCCCTTCCCTGCTAAGAGCCCAGACTGCTCTCATTGTGCCCAAACTGTGTGGGCCGCATTGGGGGAGGGGGGACGCGGGGGTGGCAAAACCCTGCTGGGCCAAGTGCGCTCTAGGCTCCTCCTGGAGAGCTGTGTGTTGCAAGCCCTCAGCAGACTTGCAGGGCTCATTGGGGCTCATTTATGCTTTTATGGTAGTGCAGAAGATGTTATCACAGCTTGAGAACTGAAATTAAAATATGTATCCTTCAGGTGAAAGCCTGTACTAACAGCTTTACCGCAGCTCTGCGGGGGGCCCCATTAATCTCGCACCAGTGAAATTCCTAAGGAAATTAATTCCCTCCAGTTGGGGTTATTCTCAACTGGTCTTTGGGGGCGGAGTAATTGGAATTTAAGAGTCTCTCTTAAAAGAAGGGAAACCTTGGCCATTTTACTTGAGCGGCAGCCCTTTTCAGTGCCATGCTTTCTGTTCCTCCATGTTTCTCCCTTCTCTAGGTAGGCTTTACAGATTTCTACCCATGGGAGAGAGTTTGGCTTTCAGGCTTATTTCAGCCGTCTAGATATGGTCCTCTGCAGAATGGCTTGTTTGTGGCCTCCCAGTCCTGGCACTGTACATGCTGAGTAAGACTTGGCCGTAGGTATGCATGACAAATCATTAAAAGCTTGTGGTTAAAATATTACCTTGGCTGTTTAGGAGCATTAAGTATCAGCTGTCACTGTCCAGCCCAGTGAAATTATCCCTTGCTGCCCTCCCCTCCCCCAAGTTTACAACACAGTTGAGGGCTGGGAGAGAGGTTAGTGGTTACGGGGCTTAGTGCTTGCCTTGTGAGCATGAGGACCTACGTTTCACGCCCAGAAGCCACTTGAAAAAAGCTGGCTGTGGTGGTGGGCTTGTAATCCCAGTGCTGGGGACAGAGATGGGGAGACACCCATCTAGATGCCTCGGGCTCACTGACTTGCCCAGCCTGGAGAGCTGTAGGTCAGTGAGACTCCGTCCCAAAACACAAGGTGGACAGCTCCTGAGGGACTACAGACAAGGCTGTCCTCCACATGAATGTGTACATACATGCACATACACACACAGACACACATCACAGAGTTGACTTGCAGACATGAGATGGAGTTCCTTGGCCTCCTCCACTGAAGCTTTAGCCCCCCTCCCCATCCTGTTTCTACAACATGGTTTTCTCCTTTCTAGAATATTTTACTTCCAAAGAGTTCTCTAAGGTTTTTGTTTTCAGTCAATCAATCTTTTATTGAAAATATGTAGATTCATACACGTACACATTTAGTATGAAAAGAGAAATGCTGGGTCTGGGGACACATGCCTGTAATCCTAGTACTTAGGAGGTGAAGGCAGGAGGATCAGGAGATCCCAGCAAACCTTGGCTACATAGCAAATTGGAGGTCAGCCTGGTCTACTTGAGAATGTATTTCAATAACAACAATAATAGTTTGATGTTTATGAATATAATAAATTATTATTATTATACAACCCTAAAGTTTGGAAGGTAGAAAAAAAGAGGATTATCAAGACCAGCCTTGGCTTCGTAGTGAGCTCTAGGTCATCATGGGCTACATGAGAACTTGTTTCAAAATAAAGGCCGGGGGGGGGGGGGGGCAGGATACAGGGATACTGTGTGCATTGTCTCTCAATGGTAAAATCTTGTAAACCTGTAATACAATATTATAACCAGGGTGTTAATGTCTCTTGTGACTCTGCTGTCTTTCTGAGGTTTCTGTGGCTTTACTGGTACTTGCGTATGTTTGTTTCTTTACAGTCTGAGGTTTGGGTTTCTACCATCCCAGCCGAGAAGCAAAGCGATTTGCCCTGTTGCATTTGGAGTACTGTGATTTACATTTTCAGTAGCTGTATTTTTCAAGGTGTGCTGTTTGTAATCACAGGAGCAGGGCTGCCAATAGGAAACAGGAGTGAGGAAACAGCGACTCTCCCGTGTAATTCAAAATGGCCAGCGAACAAAATTTTCCTTTTAGAAGAAAATTGAATTTTCAGTATATCCAAAAGAAAATACTTCACCTTGTAATCTGCTACTGTTACTCTGGCTACCTGGAGCTTACTGCACAGCCCAGGCTGGACTCAAACTTAGGGAACTCTTTCTGTCTTAGCGTGGGAAAGGGTGTGGAGAAGATACCGCCGCCGGAGAGTCGCTGCCCAGCCAGGGAAGGCTTCAGGGAAGTAAGAGTGGAGGCTGGGCCTGCGTGGGAAGGTGCAGGAACTCTAAAAAGGAGCCTAATGGTACTTAGAGGCAACGGGGGCGGCCATTTAGGCCTTGCTGTGCCTGGGTAACAGGTGTCACAGGGCTGTACTGAGGATTGATTCTGGGGTTCAGAGGGCACCTCCAGAGGTGTTCCTAGGTCCTCCAAGACTGAGGTACAAAGTGAGGGTTGTCAGACACTGCTGCCTCTTATTCTTTACGCAGTTTCATGGGAGAGTTCAGCTTGGAAATGTTCTAATCTGACTTCACTTTGATTTAAAACAGACACACACTTATACCCCTTGCTAGTGTAGGCTTATGAGCTCCAGGGAAGGTTCCGAGCCACAACAGCCAGGGGCCAAGAGCTAGTTAGCACAAGAGGGAGGCTCCACCCCTACCCAACGCAGCGCCCTAGGTAGGACTCAGGGCCTCCCGGCTCCCCCTACCCCCGGCCCGAGGGCGTGGTCTAGTGAACCAGGGGGTGTGGCCCGAACACAAGGGCGTGGCTTCCCGTGCGCAGCCTCCTCGCGAGTCCATTCCGCCCTATCGAGCCTCCGGCGCTCGACTCCTAGTGTCTGGCGGCGGCAGCATGGCGGCGGGGGCGGCTGAGGCAGCCAAGGGGACCTCGGTAGTGGCGGAGGTCGGCTCGGCCCAGCAGTTTGAGGAACAACTACGCCTCAAAGACAAGTACGCGGGGCGGCGAGAGGGTCGGGCGGCCGGAGGGCGTCGGGCCGGGGCCTGGGGGTCCGGAGGCGGTCCCCGAACGCGGCACGTCCGGAGCCGAGCTCGCGGCCCAACGGTGGCTCTGCTTGGGCCTTGGCGGGACCCTCACCGGGGAGGATGGGGAAGCGCAGCGCGGCGGCCCCGGAGACCCGCACATGGCGCCTCCTGAAGGAAGCCTGGGCTGGCGACCGGCCTGCAGGCCCAAGCTGGAGTCCGGGGCTTTCCTGAATCGCCAGTTGGCCTAGGGAGCGTCCGCTGCGGCCCAGTGCACGAGCGTCTCGGTTTTGGACGAGACATCCAGAGGCCAGCCCGGGGTATGCTCAGGAAACGACCGCTTCGGAGAAGGCGTGCGCGTGGCTCCTTGAGATGCTGCCCGGCCTGGGGCTGCAGAGGACTGAGGGGCTCCCAGGGTCGGCTGGCTGGCTGGGATCCCCCAACCTCTCCTCAGCCCCTTATCTGCCAGTAACCCTGGGGCAGGATTCGTAACTCACCCTCGGCTTCCTCCTGGGCGAATGGGCTGGTGTCCCCAGGCTTGTGATGGTTCCGTTAAAGTGCTACAGTGGTTGGCGTGCCGGGAGCTCTCTCCCCTAATGTGCGGCCTTGCCGTCTTCACCGAGCAGAGTGGGCAGGTGGGAGAGTGAGTGGCTGATAACGGCATGGAGGAGAATTAAAATAGCTCTTTCAGAGGCAGGCGATGTATCTAGTCCTTAATATACAAGAAGCCCTTAGTTTAAGCTTTAGTACCGAAAATAAAACAAAACCAAACCCTTTCAGTTCTTTCGCATTTCAGGTTTACCTGGAACTGTTTTTTTGTTTGTTTCTGTTCTTTTCAAAGAAGAGGAAAAGGGAGAATGACATTTACTCCTTGGTAGAGGCCGGGGTTCTTATGGATCCAGCCAGAGGCCGAAGCATTGTGGAGGACACCGCAGATGGCCTCATGGAATGATGAAGGCTTGTGTTGACATGTCCTGGAAAGTTTGAACTTAAAATATGTCAGCTGAGAAGATTCTTTTATGTGTGTCTTTTCACATACTTAGCTTGCTTTTGTGTTTCATTGTTTTAAATAGGACTTAGTGGGCAAAGGTTAACATGGCATTTGTTCTGCAAGTTCAAGGCCAGCTTGGTCTTCATATTGAGTTTCAGGCTAGCCAGAGGTATATAGGAAGACCCTGTTTCAAAAGACCAAGAAACATTCATTCCTCCCCAGGGGTGGGGGAGGGGGAGAGCCCAAAACAAGAACAGCAACAACCCAGACTCATTTGCATGTATTCTTGTCACTGGTGTGTGCCTGAGATGACTCAGGTGACAATGTTCCCATCTGTGGTAAGTGACTGACTGGTCTGAAGGGGCATCTTGGACATTGCTGTCTGGCACCCAGGGGGAGAGCTGTTTTCTATGGTGGATACAGAAGCCAGTAAATACTACATAGCACTTGTAGGAAATGATAGCACACACACAATCATTTCCACACCAGTGGTATTCAGTTCTAAAACTTGTTGTGGGTTGAAATACACTCTTTTGTTTTATTGGTTTTTTTTTTTAATTTTATGTGTGTTACTGTTTTGCTGGCATGTGTCTGTGCACCATATGCACGCAGTGCCCTCAGAAGCCACAAGAGGGCACTGGCTCTGGGTCTGTTGTGAGCTAAGAATGGAACCCAGGTTTTCTGGAAGACCAATCAGTGCTCTTAATCATTGAGTCATTTCTCCAGCCCAGAAATTGACTTCTTATATTAAAGTCATCTAATCTGATGTGTATGTAATTACTGAAATCTTAGCTCCTGCCTATGTAGTAGTGGTGGGAGATGGGTAGTGGTCTCAGAGTTTTGGCCCATTTGTAAACCTCTTAGCGTCCGGAATATGATAGTGCTTAGTAAGTGCTAGTAAAATTTGCAGATGAATAACTGAGTAGTGGAACACTCTAACAGAACAACAAATGGTTTTTGTGCTCTAATTGTTTCATTGATGGAGAACTGAGACTCTTTATGTCTGCTAAAATACTCAGATATTTTGGGATGCAGTGCTGCTCAGTGGTAGGGTGCATGTTCAAGGCTCTAGGCTTGAGCACCAGTGCAGGGGGTAAGGGAGTCATGTTAGTTTTTCTTTCAACCTGATCTTTCTGTAAATGTTGTCCTTACTGCATTGAGCATATTGGCCTGTCCATTACGAGGGAGAGACTGGTTACAGACCAAACAGATGTCATCTGTTATTATATGCTTATAATTGGCATCACATCTTAAATGGAAAATAAGAGCTAGTCATGTAAGTATAAGACTATCTTGGGCAATAAAACATAACACATTAAACTTATGCAGTGATATTATTGGAACACATTTTTTGTTTGATCTTTCTAATATCCCAGGATGTAACTTATTATTGTTTATAGATGTGTGTTCAAAGAATTCAAAGCCATGTTAATGCCACTAGAACAAAACTCATCTCTGTGTGCAGTTTCTTTTTCCTCCTTGTCTTCTTTTTGAAGCCAGGACATGTAATGGAGGTTTTCCTGGAACTCAAGATGTAGCTGAGGATGACCTTGAGCTCCTGATCCTTCTGCCTCTGCTGTCTTTGAGTGCTGAGACTACAGGCAGGCATCGTCACATCTAGCTTTCCTCTCGTTTTTTCACATTGGGCTCCTACTGGTAACAAAGCCTGGTTATGTGTTTTATTTATTTTCTTTAACTTTGCTGGGATTGAGCCCAGGGCCTCAAGCATATCAGACTCTACCACTGACCTACATCTTTATCCACTTATTGTAATTTTTAAAAACAACCCAATATTATGAACTACAGTTGTCAACAATTGTAATTGACAGTTTACTTATGTCATTAAAAATTCTTTGCAAATTTGATTTTTAATGTATTTTTAAAATTTTAAAAATATTCTAAAGTATTTTGTTGTAGCCATTTAAAAGCTATTGTTAGATAATAGGTTTTTTGTTTGTTTGTTATTTTTCTGTAGTAGTTGGAAGATATCCACCTTCCTAAATCTTTATGGTTTCTCCAGGCTTTCTCTGTGTAAAGCCCTACTGTCCTGGACTCTTCGTAGACCAGTCTAGCCTTGAACTCACAGAGATCCACCTTCCTCTGTCTCCTAAGCGCAGGGGTAAAAGGCGTACGCCAATATGCCTGGCTAGTCTGTGTATTTTTATAATTTTTAGAATAAATACCATGGGTATGGACTTTCTGAAAGGTCTTGGTTTTAGTTTCTGCCAGCAGGGTAAGAACATACTTTCACTTCCTTTAGAAATTCTTTCTAACTGAAAAATGCACCCCACCTTTCAGAGCTATAGTATTGTTCATGTGCAGCAATAGAGTAGTGGTTTTAGTTGCCTTGGAAGCAGGCTCTTGAAGTCCTGGAGCTCCTCCAACTGCTGAGAAGTCAGTATGGCTCAGCCTTGTTCTTAGACTTTTTGTGTATGCATTTGCACAGTGCCTACCCTGCGTGCATTCCTTTCTTTGGCTCCCTTTTTCCTTCTTTGATGGTTAGCAGTGATTTTTACTTTGGCAGGAGCTACATTCACTAGGAGATCTGTCTATGAGCTTTTGAGAGGGGTCTAGACTGGGTTAATTAAGATGGGAAGACTCACCCTGAATGTTTGTGGTACCCTTCCACCTGCCTCTGCTTCCCAGGTTCTGGGATTAAAGAAGTGCACTACCATGCCGGCTAAGTTTTTTGTTTTGTTTTCCTTTTCAGAATAAGTCCTTTAAGTTTCTTTGTCAGGTGTTCTGCTACTGCACACCTGGACCAGTTGCTGATAATGCCTCCCCATCTCCTTTAGAGGATTTTATCTGTGCTGTGTGATTCCTCCCACTGCCCATCAAGATACCTTAGTTCTGTGAAGCCAAGTCAGAATTTACCTCATCGAGGCCCTGTTACAACTTTCCTCACTTTTTGAGTCATGAATGAAGTGATGCCAGTTTCACAGTCTTTGGGATATTATGTTTTCAAACAGTTTACCTAAGGTCTTTCTGTAGGAGATGATCATGACCATGCCTGTTGTCAGTTTCTGTCACATTCTCTAAACAAATGAATTAGGTTGTATTTGTTCATAGGCTGTCATGCTCATGGAAGAGTGCGGGTGTGTGGTAATAGTCAATACTTTCAATCTAGACATGTTCTCAATATAAGATACAGCTACCTTGATTTAATCATGCTAGAATGAAAATTTCATGATAGTATTAAGTGAGTGTAGCCGGTCTTTTCTCTTGTGCTACTGCTGACAGTTCACTATGAACTGTCTTAGGTATTATGATATTCTTTTAATCTAGCATTTTTGGCTTGTTTTCCAGACTTGTCGATGTGGTTGTATGTATATCGCTAGAGAAGTTATTATTATTATGTTTTTGGATTTTTTTTTCTGTTAATGGTTTTTGGGGACAAGGTTTCTCTGTGTAGCCTTGGCTGTCCTGGAACTCAGAGATCCGTCTGCCTCTGCCAGGATCCTGAGTGCTGGGATAAAGGCATGCACCACCACTGCCTGGCTCCCAGCCCCTCCATCCCCCTTTAATAGTTGAGTTGTGTTTCATTGTTGGAGCATTTCGGTGTTCCTTGACAAAGTCTTGTTGATTTGCTTTTCTTCTTGCCACAGTTAAACCTTGGGGCATCTCTTTGATTCTCTGCAGGGCTGGGGTGTGTGGCCAGGGCATTGCACAGTGTTATGAGGGATGGTTTCTGTGTTCTCTAGGCTAGAACTCAGTTCAGTTCAGTTCCCAGATAACTTTGAGGAGGACTGAAAAATGTTGTCTAGCTGAATACCTGAGGGAGAGACAACATTGCTTGATAGAGCAGTTGTTATCAGCTGACACCCAAGTACCCACTCTTCAAAGATCTTAGGTGGAGCCTCCTATTTGCCTTTTGTATTCTCTTAGATGGCTTTCTCTTCATCATTTCTAACTAGTTAGTCCTTGTCTTTGTGTTTCCCCAACCCCCATTTTTGAGGTGGCCCAGGATGGCCTTGAACTCACTGTGTATCCATTCTGGCTCTGGATGCTTGATCATTCTTGTGTCTCAGCCTCTGGAATCCTGGGGTTGAAGCGTCACACTGGGCATCCATTTTTGTTTCAGTGTATGACCTAGCTTTATACTTGAGCAAAACCAGGACTTCCAGTACATAAGTCCTCCCCATTCCTGCTTCTTCTTTTTTTATATTTGTTTATTTTGTATACAATGTTCTGTTTGCATGTACACTTGCACACCTCTTCTTGTAAATCACTTAATCTGTTCTTAATTCTTTGGCTTTGGACTAGAAGAGAGACTGTTCTCTTTCCTCTAGCTTCCTTTCCTAACTCCTTGGAAATCTTGCTCTTATAGTTACCTCAGATTTTCAACTCTCCATCTGCACTGCCATTGTCCCTGCACCATATAAGCATCTGGGGATTGATTTCTTGGACTGGAGTTAAGCTGGGCCTCATGCCTTTGGATTGCTCTGTGCAGTCCATATTTCTTGAAGTGGATTGTTATGGTGGCCACTCCCAGACAGCTCCCTGTGCTGCTGGGGGCTCCTGCTTCTTTTAGCAATTGGCATCATTTATAGTTTGTTGCTACCTTTAATGGTTGTAACTCCTTCCTTCTTGCCATTCCCTTGACTTCTGCCAGGCTCTGGTTTTAAAACTCCTGAAGCCATGCCTCTTCTCTCTTTTCCACCATCTGGCCTGACTTGATGTTGATGAGACCAGAGACACTGACCCCCATTCTCCTTTGTCTCCACTGTGACATAGTTGGCTCTGTATTTCTTGTTCCTAGATCCGTAGAGAACCAGGGTTCTCTCTGTGCTTGAGCACTGGTACTAACACTCTAGTAGACTTCCTTTCTTGCCATCAGTGCCTAAGCCAGAACTTCCAGAACTTGTAGTCAACCTTAGATTGTGGTGTGTCATCTTTCCTGCCCCTTCTGCTGTAACCTTCCTCATGCCTTTGTGTGTGTTATGAGAGCTTTTGTGGTGAGTAGGGTCCCACTTCTCATTTTTTTTTTTAAAGATTTATTTTAATTTATGTGGGTATCTATGTGAGTACATGTAGGCCAGAACTTTGGAACTGGTTTCAGACGTTTGTGAACTGTGACATTCATGAGTGATGGGATTTGAACTTTGGTCCTTGAGATAGAGCAGCAGCACTCCTCACACTAAGCCATCTCTCCGGCCCCTTTATCATTTCTTATTACATTCCTTGCTTATAGGTAAATATGTTTGAGTCTTTTTTCCACATAACACATTGCTATGTGTTTTTTCCCTCCACCTTGGAGGAGGCTTTTATTTTAATTTAGAATTCTGTAAATTCAAGTTTCACTTTAATTTGAGGTGGTTTCAAAGGTCTTTGTGAAGGTAGTTTTGTATGACAATAACTAAGATTGGTAACATTAAGGTGTCTAGGAAGTTACCAGTCTAATGGCTCCACTGTTAGTTTCTTTGGAGATGCTCAGAGGGTCCTCTGGCAACATAACTGCAAAGGGCATCTGTGAGCCGTGAGCTCAGCCTTGCTTTCTTCTGGCTTGCCTTTACTGAGAAGACTTTTGTTCTTCAAAGGTCAAATTTGTACCCTTAGCCACAGTACTATGTGAGAGTAGTAGTGTGTCTACAACCGTTTCTCAGCAGTAGCTCGCTTGTAAGGAATACAGCCTTCACTTTCATCATGGGTCTGAAAAATATACTTGACGTGTGTGTTAGTTAAGATGGATGGACATTTAGAACCACTTACTGGGGCGGAATCTTGATTTAAGAAATTCCATTTACTTGAATATTCATCAAAAAGAGTCTGAAGACTGGAAGTGATTCTGCCCAGTACAAGTGAGGTTTCCTAGATAGGAGAATTTGATCTATACCAATATTTGCTTCCAGGATTATTATAATAAAAATGTTTATTGATTTACAGGTCGCTCCTCGTGGTCCATTTCTGGGCACCATGGGCTCCACAGTGTGTTCAGATGAATGATGTCATGGCAGAGTTAGCTAAAGAACACCCTCAAGTTTCATTTGCGAAGGTACTATAAATTTTCAGTCCTATGTCTTTTATTTCTGACTTATAAGATAGATTAGATTTTATAATGTAAAGGAAGAAGCTGTGAAATTCTAAATGCTTGAACTTTGTGTTGAATTGTTATATTGGCAGCAAGTTATTTTGACAGATCTTTTAATATTGCATTTCTCACATAGTATAAAAATCGCTACAGAATGTGCAAAGGACAGAAATGTTTGATAGCAAAAGCAGATCAGAGAACTCCCCGGATAATTTTGGCTTGATAGTAGTTAATTAAGACTTCATTGAAAAGGTAGCTATATTGTGGAAAATGATTCTAGAAAGTATATATATAAACAGGTTGCAAAGGGTCAGTGGTTAACTCTGCCCTTCCTCTATATACTGAGCTGCCCCCCCACCTTCAATTGGTTCCTACATTTCCTGATGTCTTTTGAGAGACTGGGCTCTAAGAGGAAGCTGCTGACTGTGCCTAGAGGTTAGCAGATTTGCTTTTACACTTGTAATCTTAGTCATTCAGGAGGTAATATTGATTGAGGCTTAAAAAAGGAGTAAAATATATATTGAGAACAATGAATTATTGGGAAAGAAGGGATACTCTGTATTCACAAGTCTTAATTCTTGGAGTTTATTTATTTACTTTGAGACAGGGTCTCAAAGCACAGGCCAACCTCAAGATCTCAGTTTTCTTGCCTCCCAGGTGCTGGGATTAGAGGCTTGTGCCACTGTGTTCCAATGCTGAATCTTTAGGATTTAAAACCAAACTCAAAACCTTGTTTATAAAACTACAAATTATGAGTTCAAAATACATGTTGACAAATATACCCATATATGGGATTAAAAACCATATAAAGTGCTGGGTGTTTGTAGGTCATATTTCTGACACTTAATTTCTTCATTTCTTTGCATAGTAGGTGATTCCATTTGTATAGACAGCATGTTTGTGCTTTGAATAGGTATTGTGTTCCGATGGCTCAAAATGCCGAGCAGTATAGCAGGGCGGACATTGAGAAGGTTCACTCCTTATCTTCCCTGCCAACCCTTTGTCCTTTTCCATAAGTAACCAGTTATATTAATTTTGTATGAATTCGCGCAGTGTTTCTTTATGCAGATAGAGCAAATATGAATATAATAGGTAGCTTTTTAAAATTTAAGGACTTATTTAAAATTCTGATGAAATGCATAATGTAACCTTAGAAGGTAACCCTAAAATGTCCAATATAAATAATAGAAGGGGGCATTAAAACTGCATGTTTGGTCAGTGATAAAAGATAATGACTACAAGTGAAATGAATGATTAAACACTTCAGTCATAGAATTAGTCAGGATGATGGTAATTGTCTCATGTCTGCTTTCATACGTATAGTGTTACTGGTTTAGGTAACACGCTGTTCTTAGCTGCCATCTGAATGATTTATTTAAAGCGACTATAGAATTGCTTCTCACATTGGTACCAGACTTGGCAGTGAGATTTTAAGTTGTTCAAGTGCTTAAGTGTTGCAGTGAGCCAAGACTTGGAGGTGTGTGGTGTTACTTGGATTGTCAGGGATAGCTGAGCCTGACTGCACCTGCTGTTTAAAGGGATGAGTGCAGTGCTTTTGTTAATTAGGACTTCTGAAAACTTTTGGAATAAGGCTAATGTTCTACCCCATCAGTGCCTTTTTTATTTTTTCTTTTTGAGCTGGGAGTCTCACTGTGTTGCCCAGGCTGGTCTCAACTCTTGGACTCAAACCAGCCTTCTGCATCAGCCTTTTGTAGGTGGCACCTCAATATGTCCTACTACACCTACTTTTATTTGCTTTCTTAAAAAGATGTTTTTAGTTTGTCTTTTTTTCTTTTGTTTTGTTTTTCTAAGATAAGGTTTTTCTGTGTACACCTGGCTGTTCTGGAACAACTCTGTAGACCAGGCTGGCCTTAAACTCAGATTGGCCTGCCTCTTGCCTCCCGAGTGCTGGGGTTAGGTATGTGCCATCTCTGCCTGGCATTTTTGACCTGTGAAACAAAGTGATTGTTCCTTTCTTTGGTGATAGATTCACAGAGTCATTTAAATAAGTGATCTTTTAAAAAATCTATTTTTTTTTTGGTTGATGCAAAGTAAATTATTATTAGTAGTAATATTTTGAAGCAGAGCCTTATATATCCTAGACTAGCTTGGAATTTACTATGTAGCTATGGATGACTTTGAGATTTTGATCCTCCTGCTTCTAGCTCATGAGTGATGAGATCATAGTGGGTGCCATCATGCCCTATGTATATGCTGCTGGGGACCAAGCCAGGGCTTCTTGCATGCTAGGCCAGCACTCTACCAACTGAGCTTCACCCCCAGCCTAGTAGGTGATAATTGAGTAAGTTGTTCTAAATGCGTTGTAACTACCAAGAACTTAGTTTTCTAATTTATAAGATACTGGCTCAGATAAATCAACCACACATTTCTGTTAAGAGTTTTGAAGCTTGTTCCCATCAGACTGAAAGCTGAGCTTTCACATTCTCTAGTGAGGTCTTTGTTCCCTGACTTGTGATGGGACTGTACTAGTGCTACCTCTCTAATGGGCTAGGCTCTTCCCTGCCTCAATTGCTGCCTTATCTAGTTGGATCCTGACACTTGGGTCCTTCTGTAGGCTCTCACATCTCTGAGAATGTTGAGGAAACACTTGAGTTACTTCCGTTGTTTAATGCCTTCCAAAAAGAGTCAGGCTTACTCAGAATAGAGTGAACTAGCTAATTGAATTATTAGGTGCTGTTTCCTTTCAAAATATAGTCAGGTCTCTACCTAAAATGGAAGTACACTTTGTTGATCTGTGGATGTGGATGGGTGGGTGGAAGAATGAATTTAAGATCTTCTGCCTCAGCTTCTTGGGTGCTGTTACCATGCCATTGGGAATACATATTTGTCAGTTTGGTAGAATCTTTCAGAATATGATGTTTGGAAGGGAGAGAAAGGAGAAAGAAGGCTTTGTCAATGATGAAAAGGTTGGGAAAAAATCAGATCCAGTTTGTAGAAAACCTATCCTCCCCTTCTACATTTCTCGTTTGCCGCGTGTCATATAGTTGCTTTCTTGTTGCGTTGATAAAATACTCTGACAGAAACGACTTAAGAGAGAAAGGTTTATTTAGCTTGTAATTTCAGGTCTATCTTAGCAGGGGTCTGCTGGAGAAACTTGAAGCAGCTGCTTACATTTACATTCATATTCAAAATAGAGCAAGAATGATGCATGCTAATGTTTGGCTCTCTTTTCACTGGCATAGCCCAGGGTCCCCTGCCTAGGGATTGATGGCCCCAACATTGGGTAGGCCTTTCCATCTTAGTGTAATTAAGGTAATTAGAATAGTTTCCTCACAGTCATGCTCAGAAGCCAATCTCTCATTTGTTTCATAGTTTTGTCAAGCTGAGAGTTGACACTGACCATTACTAACAATTTCATTTCAGTTTAAACTCTCTATAAGATTACTGTCAGTTATTTGTGGAGAGTTTTATGATGTTGCTCTAGTCAGTATTATTTCATTGTATAGTGTAGCAGTTCTCACCCTGTGGGTCGCAAGCCCTTTCCTTGCGAATGGCCTTTTCACAGGGGTTGCCTAAGACTATTGGGAAACATAGATATTTACATTATGATTCATAACAGTAGCAAAATGACATGAAGTATCAGCAAACATAATTTTATGGTTGGGGGCCACTACAACATGAGGAACTGTATTAAATGATTACAGTGTTAGGAAGGTTGAGAACCAGTGGTGTAGTGGCTGCTGTGGTGTCAGGATATGGAAGAGTTATGAAGTTACATCACTGTACTCTGCACCCTCTTCACTATCCCTTATTGTGTGGGTTCTGCTACTAAGTTACATTAAGCTCTATTGTAGGAACCTTCAGGGCTAGAGAGATGGCTCAGCAGTTAAGAACACTGGATATTCTTGCCAGGGACCTGTATCCAGTTTCCAGCACCCATATTGTGGCTCATAACTGCCTGTAATTCCAGTTCCAGCGCATCTGACTCCTTCCTCTGACCTGTGGGCACCAGGCAAACACACAGTGCTCATATATATATATGCAGGCAAGGACTCATACACATATGATAAAAAAACAAAAACATAAATCTTAAAAAAAAAAAAAAGGTTTCTTTAACATCTGATTTATTCCTGCTCTGAAATAGGCAAGTGTCTTAAAGATACAGTTTGTTCTGCTTAGTTTCCAGATGTCTGCATAATTGTTCTGTATAAAATAATTGAGATGACAGTGCTGGCTATTGCCAGAAGTATATGAATTAGTTTGCTAAATACCAGGCATTATCTAGCTTACAGTAACTTGTTTTTTAACTAAATCTCAATTGTTTGATTTTACCAGTGAAAAGTCAGGAGCCAGATGCTGGGGTGAAAGCCTGCTAGAGAGGCAGAGAAAACACCCAGCTGACCTTCCTACTCAGCCAACGACCCAGAAGAAAACTTCTCAAAACCCTCCAAAAATCCCTTGAACTCAGTGTCCCTCCTTTCCACTTCCTGTGCGTCTACCTGTCCTCCTGACTTCCTCTTACTCTCCTCCATGGGAGGAGATGATGGTCCAGTCTAAGAAGAGAGTGTGAACTTATCTTTCCTTTGTTGTTTTTGTTCTGTAGAGGCCTTACCCTGTTGGGTGGTGCTCTTAGGGTTTGAGGATAGATGAGTCTTCCTTATAGATGCCTCTTGCTGGGTGATACATCCTTATTGGCATGTCTAAAAATGATGGTTATTAGGATTATTCATCTAGTTTGTAGAAGGGCTCATGGTATGGAGTTGGCTGTTTATGAAAGGTAGCTTTGAACTCTTGGAAATGCAGGTCATTTAAAAACATTTTCTGTTTTCATTACTAAGACCATTATACTGTATTAGAGCCATATTTTCCAATAATTTTGAGTACTGCAAAGCTTCTTTTCAGTGGTGTTGGGGATCATACCCAGGGCTATGGACATACTACACAAATCCTGGCAGCCTCTACCCTAGCTGTACAAAGGTGTTAGGAAATCAGATGGTACTGATGTTTTGGAAAACTGTTGTAGCTGTAGCGGAAATCCTATCCCCTCTTGTGTGTTTGTCTGTCCCAATGTCTCTGAGAATAGCTAGTCTTCTGGAGGCCAGAATTTGAGGGGAGGCACTTTTAGTGCTCCTTAGGCAGGAATGGCAGCAGAGATCTACTTTAAACATATAGGCCCATGTTAAGAGTTCTGGTCTAAGAACATGTGTCCTCTTAGTGTTGTTCAGGTGCACTGGAAATAGGGTCTCTTTCTGAGCAATGCTTAGCTGATCAGAGAGTTAAAGAAAAGAGTGAGCTGCTGGGTGACATTGTGGGCACCATTGGTCTGAGTATGGAACTGCACCAAAGAAGGAAAATAGCACACACATTTCTAAAACTAGTCAGTTCTAAATGTTTGTGTCAGACAAACATTGTGCTTTCTCCTTCTGCCCTTTTATCACATGAGAAAGTGGCTATTACTAAATGAAGATTTAAAGCCTTATCATTATTAAGTACATTTGAAAAAATAGAAACAATTACAAAATTTTTGCAGAAGGCACTAAAAGTATCCCTTACAAAGCCTGTGAAAAGTGAGATGGTGAGGTAGCATGAGCTAGGGCAGGTGAGACAGTGCCTTTGCTGCCTAGGCATTATTCAAACACAAGTAGCTTGACTGGCTACCGCAGAGACAAAAATCATATTTCAAGCCCAGTGGAAATCTTTCACTCTTGGAAAAATTCAGTATATATATTTTAAACACATTTAACAATATAATTTATCAATAAATTTTATTTCCTATAGGTATAATGTGAATATAGGTTTTTATTGGTTTTAAAAAGTTTATATTAAATTGACAGTCCTATGAGAGAAAAATATATCTTGGTTTTCCCTCAAAGTATATTTATAAAGACCTACGTAAATATCTTATAGCAATTGTGTTCTAATTATCCAGAAATTGTGTTTCTAAATCTATTTGAAACCCATGTGCCAGATACTTCATCATACCATGTTTGATGAGGGGCCCCAAAGAAAGATCAGACCAAATGTAGTCATCTAGTTAAAATGAGTTTACATGTTTGAATAGACTGGAGTGTAAGCAATGTAGTAGGCTGTTTGCATGGTGTCTAGCAGCCATGCAGGGGTTAAAAGTAAAATTTATCAGACATCAATAGTTTATTGAAGAAATACTCCTTTTTGCTTCATAATTTGCAGAAAGCTGCAACTGTCAGTCATGATGTACTGCCTCTTGAAATTAGTCAATAGAGCAAACAGCAAGAATTGCTGTGGGCAGAAAATAAGCACTGTAATCATGACATAACTGGGGTCAGTGATTTATGGATTTCAATATAGTAGTAGCTGCATATGATTGAAAATTTACTAGGTCACTAGTGCACCAAAAATTTTATTCACAGCCTCCAGGCATCTTTTGAAATGTGCAACAAAATAAAAACCTCTGAACCTGTTTTGACACTGCAGACTCCGTGGATGACATGCCAGCCCAGTGAGTCTCATTTAAATGTAAATGTGTCATAAACTTTTGTCCTATAGTCTTAAAATACCATGGACTTGAAGGGACAGTGCATGTGAAACTGATTTACATATCAAAATAGAAAAAGGACCAGTAATAATGAAGCTTGGATTCTTTTATTTTAAAGCTGGAAGCGGAAGCTGTTCCTGAAGTATCTGAAAAATATGAAATTAGTTCTGTTCCCACCTTCCTGTTCTTCAAGGTAAGGATGAAAGAGGCACCAGAGATGGTTCATCTGAGTGGCTCCTGGGACTGGATGTTTTGATTCTTTTATCCTCTCCTGATCTCCTTGGTTGCTCCTGGCCTTGTACCTTTCTCTGGTACTCTCTTTTTTTTTTTTTTTCCACTGATGGGGACCATGCTGGTTGCTTGCCATGGGCAGTGGGCAGCCCACAGCAAGAACTGGAGCGTCCTGACCAGAATCCAGACTTCTCTTGCAGACTAGTGCTCCCTGACCCAGGTTTGCAGTGGGTTATTGAGGGCATATTCCTGGATGTGAGGAGACATCTCGCTGGTTCTAGTTGATTAATGACTCCTTGGAAAGCAAGTACAAATCTGTGCTTCAGGACACCCATGGGTATTGCCACTTACCACAGCTCTGCAAAACTTCATTTGTGTGCAGTAGGTCCATTCAAGCTGGTCTTATTTTGAGATGTTAGTGCTTCACCAACATGCTTCGAAGTGAGTGTTTCTAGGTGAGAAGCAGACAGTTGGTAAGCAGACATCCACTTCAGTAACAATTGAAAATTGTTACTTTAAAAATTGGCTAGAGCTATAGGTACTTCCTATAACATTGGAGTCTAAAATATTGATGATAATGAAGGAATGCCACTTTATTCTAAATGACATTTCAAACTTCAGAATTCTCAGAAAGTCGACCGGTTAGATGGTGCAAATGCCCCAGAGTTGACCAAAAAAGTCCAGCGACACGTGTCTAGTGGATCCTTTCCTCCTAGTGCTAATGAGCATCTTAAAGAAGATCTCAACCTTCGCCTGAAAAAGCTGACTCATGCTGCCCCCTGCATGCTGTTCATGAAGGGAACACCTCAAGAACCACGTTGTGGTAAGAAGCTGATCCTGATGATTGGAACAGAATGTCCTTGCCTGCGTGGGTGCTGTTGTGTGTAGTGTTTGGTGGGTTCCACTTCCTGGTGTCGTCATACAGATCAGTGTTAGTTGCCAGGGTATACTATATACTTGGAGGGCATGGAGCTGGAGGAGGCTCTTTGGAAATCACCAGGTTCAGGCTCTTTATATCTGAGTCCTCAGCTATGAAGGTAGCTTGTTCACCTGGTGGCAGACCTGAGAGGGATTAGGTTCCAGCCATCTGCCATATTGCTATCTCTTAATGAGTCTTCTGCATGTGCAGGTATTGTCTCTCTGTCTGTCTGTCTTTGTGTATGAGCATAGCATATAGACAAAAGAGGGCGGAAGAGGGTGCTAGATTCTCTAGAGCTGCAAGTAGAGGTAGTTGTGAGCTTCCCAGCATGGTTGCTGAGACTGAAACTTGGGTCTTCTGCAAGAACAAGCACTCTGAGTCATCCGTCTAGCCCTTTTAAGATAATTAATTGTCTGTCTGTCTGTGAATGTGTGTGTATGCCGGGAGAGGACATTGGGTGGTTCTTTTTCAGTTTCCATGTGCTTCTTTGAGGCAGTGTCTGGAAACTGACAAGTCCCATGAATATTCCTGTCTCTATCCTCTGAGAGCTGTAGTTAGAAATCATGTAGTAACTTGTGGCTTGTTATGTGGGTGCTGGAATACAACTCCAGTCCTGATGGTTGTGCAGAAACACTCTTAGCTCTTGAGCCTGTAGTTTTGCTCTGAACAGGTTTCTTTCTTGGCAGCCTTAACTTTGTGTTCAGATTTAGTAATTTAAAAGGTTGGGTTTTTCATTAGGACCTGGGTCTGCCCTGTGTCTTCTTGCTTTCTCTCTTGTGCTTTTATGATGGCGTTTTCCACTCACTGCTGTCACTCCTAGCTGATAGCTGTTAATAGATTAAAGATCACAGAGTCTTGGCTTATAGAGACATGTACTTTTTGTACATAAGTGTGCTTGTAGTTTTACTCTTAAATAAGTTTTGTAATTATTTGACCCCTCTGGTATTGAGCTATGCTGTTTTCTTTTTACTGTGCCTACTACAACATTATTATGCTGCATAATTGAGTTTTTAATGCCTTTTGATGATGCCTTAGAGTCTGTTGAGACTCTAAGGGTATTTGTTTTAACTGTGCTGGAGGGGATTTATTAAGCTAGGTGGCAGTAAAGTTGGGTATGCTGTTGATAGGATTACTGTGTGTCCAGTGTGACTGGAAAGAGCCATGCTGCCATTCTGAGTGTGTTCCATTCTAAACTATTCCTCTGTGGTCAGGAAGCAGTCTACTTCTCTACCAGTAAAGCATCACTATATGTTCTTTTAAAAAGATGAAGTGATTCCTTTCTCTTAGTTCTGCCTGAAAGGTTTCCCTTGCAGTGTCTTTTTGAGTCAGAATTGCAAAGCTTCCTGGGTCTGCCCTCTACACGGAACAAGGAGTCTTCACAGTGCTTTCTTGTTACTTTATTTTTAATAGGGTTTAAACTGTTGCTCTCTCTGATGCTTCATGTCCTCTAGTTAAGGGCTTACAGTAGGAAGGCCTGTAAAATGTGGGCAAACCTCTATAGCAGGTTTTACATAGCAAACCGTTTATCCAATTTGCTCTTTTTTGAAACCTAACAATAGCACTCTCTGAGTCTTTTCTTATAACCTAGTGAAGTTGGCAGGAGGAAAGTTGACTGGGAAAGTGTTTCCAGGCAGCAGAGGTGGTGTGTATGTCACTTGCTGTGCTTCAGGCCTGCCACTGAAGTTGGCCCTGCTCAGGGACTGGGTACAAGTCAGGTACCACCTTGTCTTTCAGCTGTACTGGAGGGCGATGAGGTGGGGCTTGTCTGAAGGTCTGTCAGTGTAGGGGCCCTCGGATTTTTCAAGCATATTAGTGGCAAACGTAGAAATAGTAATTTTAAAAAATTAACTTTTAGGTTAGCATACGTTAGACTGTGATACCATCTTGCCCCTACCCCATACCATCTCAAACCCCTTCCAGTTCCAGCTGGTTCTCTTCCTTCCTTTGTTAGTTCCCTGCTGTTCTCTTGTTGCATGCGTTTCACTTGTCTGCTAGAGCTTTCCCTCCTTTCCTTTCCAGTATTGTGACATCTCCCATCTGTGTACACACACACGCACGCACGCACACACATACACATGCGGGCGTGCACACACACAAAACACATAGGTCCATGTATACTGATACAAAGGTACACAACACAATTTTAAATTTAGTTTCTGTATACAAGGGGAAATATATTACTTGTCTTTCTGAATTTGGCTTATCTAGAAATAGTCCTTTCTATTTCACTAAATTGAATTTATGTTGTATTTTATTGAGTTTTTTTTAATGTTGTGACGTTCAGACTACAAGTAGAATAAAGAGAAAATTTAACATTTTAGATTAATCTGAAAACAAGATTTATAGGCATTTAGATAATGAAAGCAAAAAGGTAAAGAGATTGTTAGATGCATAAAGGTTTAACTGTCTTCTGTTTGGATGCCATCTTCATAACTTTTCTAACAGTTCTAGTAGGCATCTCTTTCTGATATTTTGGTTTCTTATGTGCCCACATACAGCAAGCAGATTATTGGAGAGTATTTAATAAAGTGTCCACGTTGGGTTAGCTGGAAAGCTTTTACATGGGGACGGCCTGGCCACCTCCTTTTCTGTTTTTTTGTGCATAATGGTGTGCACTCTTTTCATCTTTCATTTCCTGTCTTTGGGAAACAGTAGCTTCACTTCTCTTTTTGCTTTCTGAGCCTGCCTACTCTAGAACTGTTTGTGCTCCATGTTGACAGTCCAGTGAAGAGTATAGGCTAGTGTCTTGAGGAAAACACTGATCATCTCTGTGAACTAAAGAGGTTTCTCTCATGTAGCAGAGTTGCTTTTGAGAGCAATCTCCCATTAATACAATGACATCATTGCTTTGCTCCTGGTTCAGCATCTGTTGTGGAGTTGAACTTGTATTTGAATCAGTGGCCCTGACCTTGCTTTGTGTTGCCCAGAAAAACTTGAATAATACTTATGCTTCATATCCAGGAAGGTGGGAAAAAGCTGTTTCCAGAACCTGGCTGTCCTAGGACCAGGACAGCCGCAGCTCCAACCTTCTGCTTTACTGCTAGGCTCCATCTGCAGAATTTATGGTGACTTACAAGCTGGTGTTGAGAGAGTCTCAGTCTACAGACCTGAGTTGCCTCTCTCCTGGCTGCTTGTCAGGATAGGAGGAGAACTCGCTTACCTTTGGGGAAGTTTTCTAAAGCACCGAGGTCCTTCAGCAGGGTAATGAGGTGATGAGGGGACTCCTGTAGCTATTGCAGTTAAAGCTGCTAGGTGTCTGGCTGTGGGAGCTCCAGCAGTGAGAGTCAGATGCAAACAAAGCACAAGTGCAGAAATACTCTTAAGGGTCTGTTTTAGGTAGTTATTAAATGTGGCAGTTAGGCTTATTACTCATGTCACAAGTGGAAATGACTGCAAATAGAAATGGTGATTTTTGTGGTAAATGTGATTTTTTTTTTTTTTTAACTTTTAAGTGCTTCTGTTGCATGCATGCATTTTTCTTCAGGAGTGTATAAATATTTTGTTATTAGAATAAAGCCTTATTACTACTTTATCCTTAAGCATAACATTTCCAGTCTGCCACTTTAACCCTTAAAAATGAAACCCTACCAATCAATCTTTCTAGTCTGCATGTAATTGCCTAAAGCCAAAATAAAGCCTTTTCTCAGCCAGTTACAGTAGAAACGAGCTAATATATTGGGAACAGAATAACCATCAGCAGTCAGCCGTTAGCTGTTTACTAATGAACTCCCAGATGAGTGAAAACATTCAGAAACAGTGTTTGACTTGAGGCTGTGCATGAACGCCACACTTCAGTTGTAGGAGAAGCAGCTTATGTGCTACTCACTCATCCTGGTTCTTCATCTCAACAAACTGCAGATCTGGGATGCGCTTGAAGCTCAGCTTCAGAGCCATGTTTTAAATAGTAAATGCACATTCTGGTGATGTCAGGTAAAGCCACTGCAGTTAATCTTATGCTGATTTCATAATTTTTTTTTTTTTATTTGAAAGTAATTGTTGATATGGGGAAATCCTAAAGGAATTTTTAATTGGAAGAATAGGTTATATTTCAGTGAATTAAGAATGTTTCAAAGAATGGTGATATGAGAAAGAAGAAAGCTCAGACTTGGAGATCTAATTGGTAAGAATTAGCATCTGGGAAGAAAAGTGACCTCTTTTCAGCCTGGACTGATAGGTTCATGAGACCGATGCTCACACCTTTTTTCATGATAAACACTATAAGAAGATGGCTTCACCAAAGTCTAATAAATTCCTGGGACATAAATTTGTCAGTATAGTGTAGCTTAAAAAAAATCATTATACTACACACTATAAGGAATGTAAATAGTTTTAGGAAAGAATCTATCAACTTATAAAATAAGTTGAGAACAACGGTGATGGCTTTAACATTTATTGTGCTGTTCCCACTTCAGACCCAAAGACAGCATTTCTGATTTTGATTCCATTCTTCCTGCTCAGAGGTGACGGTGAGAAGCACCTGCACAAGTGTGTGTACAGCCTCACAAGAGTGGTAGTGAAGACTATACTTGGGTCTCTTTGTGGTCAAGCAGTGGTTAAAATAACTGTTGTAGGTGTCCTGGTCAGTCCTTGAAGGAGAGAGAGCAGCTATAGCTAGCTCTGTCCCATGTCAGGGTGGAGCCTGTGCCAGGCTTTTATGGTTCTGCTCTTTGACCAGTGCTGTTTCTTCAGTTAAAGATCAGTTTTAATATGTACACACCCCACTCTTCACTGTTACTATGCTAATATATGTGTTAATTCTAGCTGTGTGAGACTCTAGGCTAAATAAGTTTTAGCATTTATTTTTCTCTTCTATTATCCAGTTATGTTGATTCAGTCACTGTGTAGGCAAGGTGGGCATTTTTCCCTTGGACACTGTGTGGTATATAAGAGATGCTGAATTCTCTATTTCCTTGTTCTGTTGCAGGTTTCAGCAAGCAGATGGTGGAAATCCTTCACAAACACAATATTCAGTTCAGCAGTTTTGATATCTTCTCAGATGAGGAAGTTCGGCAGGGGCTCAAAACATATTCTAATTGGCCCACCTATCCTCAGCTCTATGTTTCTGGAGAGCTCATTGGAGGACTTGACATAATTAAGGTTAGGTTCTTTGTAGACATTTTGTTTAGAACACACTTTTCTAAAGTATAATAAATTGAAAGCACCATAAGATTTGCTTCTTATTGCACCACAAGATTTACTAATGAGAATTCAGTTTTCTGATAGGCATTTGTTAGTATTCCACATTGGGGGTGGTCAAGGTGGTTTATGTTGTAATAATGTGCTTCTTTCAGGAGCTGGAAGCATCAGAAGAGCTAGATACAATTTGTCCCAAAGCTCCCAAATTAGAGGAAAGGTAAGTGCTGGCAGCATATGCTTTGCATATCTTAGTCTATAAATTCTGTTGTAGCATTGTTCTTTTTGAGTAGAGACCCAGCATTCAGAGTTTGCCTTGTTGGGGTCATAACTTGGGGGTGTTTCTTAGCACCTAGTCTTGTAGACTCGGGTTGTTCTCATTTGGACTGGAGATGTTTTAGCTCGGTTTAGCTAACATGAAGAGTATGCTTGCTACTGCAGAAATGTCACTTTCACTGGATCTAGGGCCCTATTTGGTTCCTGCTCTTCTGTGTGAGCATAGCACCCCTGTGTTTTCATGGGCCGCCAAAGTGCCATGTTTAGTCCCTAAGTGTGGTAAGAGTTTAGTGGGAAAAGCTAAGGTTTTGAGTGTCTCCTGGAAGCCAGTCACAAAACTCAGGCTGACTCTGGAGCTGTGAAACCATCTTTCTTTTTATGAGGGATCACAGCCTGCTTCAGAAGTCTTATAGAATTGTTGGATTTTAGTATGGAGGGACCTGTGAAGAGGACTCTGTTATAATAAATGTGAATTTATTAATTCACATTTTTATATTAACAGTTGAAAAGAATTTATCTTGAAATTCAACAGAGCCCATCAACTGTTAGTTGGGGCTTGAGTTTGTAATTTTCTTGCTATCTTACATTTTGAGAATTTCTACAAATATTTAATAAAAGACATTCGTCTGTAGGAACAGTATTCTATGTATGCCATGCTGGCCCAATGCCACTGGTCTGTGATAAGAAGATAGTGGTGTTTATGGATACTACATGGGGTCCCTTTGTGGTCTTTATTGTAGCCCTTTGATGTCCTTGCCCCCTAAGGCTGTGCTGCTCCCAGAGTGGCTCTGCATTTCATATCCCGGGATTGGCTGGGCACTGTGCTTTCCTCTGTAGATTGTTCTTGCTACTGTTGCCTTGTCTTCATCACATCTTTCCTAAAGTGCTGCCTGTAGCTCTCCTGTGCTGTAGGCTTGCACAGATACTGGCTAGAGCCGTAGAGAAAGCAGTGTTTGGCTTATTTGTGGGTAGTAATTTAAAAAGGTCCTATCTAGACAATAGAGTGAGCTGTTGTGCATGGATCTAGGTGTTTAGATCATCTGGTGAGTGGGCTGGATTAGGTTTATGTCTGTTGAGGAGCCACAAGTATAAGTGTCATGGCCTGGGTGATCTGTGCAATTGACTGGCATCAGCTTTATTCTGCAAGATTTGGACCCATGCTGCTTCCGCAATATTAGAAGGCTGAAGAGAAAATGATGTGACTCATTGTCTCTACACTGATTTTTCTTAAAAATTTGTGATTAAACTTTGTTTCAAATTTGGGTGATTAACATTCCTGACAGCAGGTTATATTGTGCTTTTTGACAGGTAGCATATAAAATATGAAGTATCAACTTAAAATGAGAACTGTTGATTTTTAGCTGTTAGTAGTTGGAGGGCTAAGATTTTGCCTTCTTACCCTGGCGACCCTGCTCTGGTGTGAAGAGCATTATACAGCATCGTGATGGGAAAACTCTCACTGATTCATTTTGAGAACTTTAGATGGCTGGATACATAGGCCCCCCATCGAATAATTCCTTACTGAATTGGTTATTATTATTTTTTTAGTACTACAAGTTGATGGGCTTAAATTGCAACTTGAAGGAACATTCGTTGCCTTAAAAAGCCATATTATGTTTTACAGTGGCTTAGGGAGAGAATGAAATAAAGGAAAGTGTCAGTGCTTTTGCTTGTTTAGTGCCACTCAAAGCTGTGAGCCGCCATCCTGCTATCCCTCAAATATGCCTGCTACTCATGAAGCAGAGCAGAAGTGGTGTTTAATAATTGAGCTGAGCCATTTTATATCAATTTTCTCTCTTCAGGCTCAAAGTGCTGACCAATAAAGCTTCTGTGATGCTCTTTATGAAAGGAAACAAACAGGTAAAGAACTCAGAAATGGTTTTATTTGTAATTTCTTTTGATGTTAACATCTGCAGCAAGGGGACAGTTAAGTCTTTTTTTTTCTGGCTTAGCTAATGAAGCTGTAGTGGTATCAGGAAGTTATCCAGGCCTTAATTGGTGCTTATGGAGATCAAACAAAGTAATCTCCATTTTGCTTGACTTTATCATCAGCATCTCAGCAGGGTGCATTTCTTTCTGCTGCCAAACTTTGTCAGCTGAAGTGGTCAACACTGCTAGCACTTAGCTGATTATCTGAATTGTTGTCCCTTTGTTTGAGGGTGTGGACTGTGGGCAAATGTACAACACTGTTAGTCCTGAGGTTCTTGTCTTTAGGTCCACAGAGTAGAAAATAAACACTGATAATCAGTGGCCCTTGTGCTCTGTGATACCTGGTTTATGAGAGAGTAAAACTACCACAATTCTCATTCGTAATATAATGGTTCTATTATTATTAATTACAATTTATTCACTTTGTATCCCGGCTATAGCCCCCTTCCTCATCTCCTCCTGGCCCCATGCCCTTCCCTTAGTCCACTGATAGCTCCTCCTCCCCTGCTATCTGACCCTAGGCTATCAGGTCTCATCAGGACTATCTGGATCCTCTTTCTCTGTGGCCTAGTAAGGCCACCTCACCAGGGGAAGGTGATTAAAGAGCAGGAAACCAAGTTCATACCAGAGACTGTGGTAGAGAAACACTTAAAGAAATGCTTAAAGTCATCAGGGAAATGCAAATCAAAACAATCCTGAGATTCCACCTTACACTCGTCAGAATGGCTAAGATCAAAAACTCAAGTGACAACACATGCTGGAGATGATGTGGAGAAAGGGGAACCCTCCTCCATTGCTGGTGGGAATGTAAACTTGTGCAGCCACTTTGCAAGTCAATCTGGCGCTTTCTCAGAAAATTAGGAATAGTGCTACCTCAAGATCCGGCTATACCATCCCTGGGCATATATCTGAAAGATGTTTAACCATACAATAAGGACATTTACTCAACTATGTTCATAGCTTTATTCATAATAGCCAGAATCTGGAAACAACCTAGATGTCCCTCAACTGAGGAATGGATGCAGAAATTGTGGTATATTTACACAATGGAATACTCAGCAATTAAAAACAAGTAAATCATGAAATATGATGGTTCTTGTAGTTTGATGAAAGTACATACTGAATTAGTTTGATAGGTCCCCTTGCACTCATTAATTGGCGAAATCTAACTGGATTGGGGTTAGATTGGTAATTTCGAAAAGCAGTTAGCTGTTGAGTTTCAGCTGTTCAGCTTTAGGCAGGTAAAGCTGTGCAGTTGGCTTTCCTCTCAGGATAAGGAGATGAAAGCTCAGAAAGGTGAGGAGGTGTGGGAGGAAGCTGCCCAGGCTCTGGACAAGCCACCTCGGGCAGGTGATACCACAGAAAGCCCTTACCTCCCTTTGCCTTTTTGTGAATTGATCTAATGATGCCATAGGACTGTTTCAACATCAGATTGTCATAAGGGTTGCCGTAGTACCAACATAGTGAATCCCATTAGTTAAAACAACTAACTAGTTGGAAGTAATAAGGATGACAATAAAATATTTTTAGCACATTGGTTACACTGTTAAAACGCAGACTCTGTGACTGGGACAATATACATATTAAAAATAAACATATTAAAAACTTGTAGTAATGATGAAGTAAGCAGTCCTTTGCTCCATGATTGTTCAACACAGACTTTCGTTCTGCACATTTCTTATGGCTGTCTAGGAAGAATTTGTGTGTCTAGAAAATGGTGTCCTGGGAGCTTTTAAGTTGTGTATTGTCAGGCTTCTTTCCCAAGGTAGCTGGGGTTTGGGGAATGTGTGGCCTGAAGTAAAGCATAGGATTTCAATCATTTCAAATAGCTGATACCACAGGACAAAGATAAATTTAAAAGTGACTAAAGGTCCATGGGCATGGGAGAACAATTATCTGCCTTAACCATGTTCTATCACTATGTTGCATAGAGCAAGAGAAAAGTGATTCTGTGTAGGTGATCTGGGTTTGATTTAGAGGAACTTCTTACCACAAGGATTTTAAGCTGTTACATGTCCCTCAACTTAAGAGGTTAAAGCCAGAGTCAGTTTGTAGATTGTTTGGGATAATGCCAGCCCAAACCAGTACTTCAGAGGGGGGGATAGAAGTAGCATAGGAGCTGGGTCAGCAGAGTGGCTGGGGTGCTGACTTGATCATTGTCAGTGGCCACACACTAGGTCTGTGAGAAAAAAAAAAATTTACAATGTAATTTTTTTTTTTTTTTTAATAATTTAGGAAGCAAAATGTGGATTCAGCAAACAAATTCTGGAAATACTGAATAGTACCGGGTATGTAAATCTTGTGTTCAGTTCTACCACTAATACTTTCACAGTTTTAATGTTTAAGCCTATTTGTGTAATATTTATTTATTGACATACACTGTCCAATTTTTATAATATTATTTGAGTGCTTTAACTGACACCAAAATGGAATTTTCTGGCCTTTGTTCTCATCATGCATAAAGAAATAAATGGATTCTATCATAAATTCTAAGTGTTATTTAGAAGCTTGTGCTTTCAGAGCTGGAAGGATGGCTCACTGATTAAGTGTGCACTGCTCTTTAAAAAGATGAGAGTTGGGTTCCCAGCACCTACAGCTGTTATCTCTCAGCTGCCTATAACTCAGGTCCTAGGGGATATGAGGCCTCTGGTGTACTTTGCCTAAAGTAAGGTGAGCTGTTGCAGTCTCTTCCTGTGGTGGAGCTGCTGGGATGGATCTGTCAGGTGGGGACTCCTTGGTTGATTTTTGTGGTTAAAACTGAATTCATTAATGTGGAGATGTTAACACATGTTCTTTTGTATTTTCAAATGTTTTATTTCTCTTGTTTTATGGTTGCTGCTTTCAAATTACAATATATGTTCTGATCATACTTTGAATAGATAGCCTGTTCTCTGAAGTTTTAGATCTGGAGCAGGATGTAATGCAGTTCAGTAGCACAGTCTAAATATGACCTTTAAAAAAATGGCTCTTCTTTTTTAAAGAATTGTTGGGGCCATCAAGATGCCACAGAGGGTAAATCAGTTCCCAAGACCGATGCCCTGAGTTTGATCCCTGGAACCCACATAGTAGAGTGAGAGAACTGACTCTTTCTACAAGTTGTCCTGTGATTGCTACGCAGATGCCTTAGCCTTCTAATATATATAGTTTATATATTAGGGGTAATGTTATGTGTATTTATGTATTACACATAATATATATAAGTTGTATATAATATATAATTATACACATATATGTATATATTATACTAACATATATACCATAAATTCTCATAAGAATTTTGTCAGGTCATGTTGTAGCTAGTGTTCCCCCCAAAAATCTAGTAATTTTGTCTTGGAATGAAGCCCGACAATAAAAGTCATTCCCATTGCTTTATAGTAGGCTTTCTCTATAGATTGAGTTTTGTTAGCAGTGGATCTCTTCGACTGTATTAAAAACACTAGATAGGTTTTATTTTATTTTGTTTGTTTAAAATGAACACTGTTAATGCCTTCTTTTGCAGGGTTGAATATGAAACTTTTGATATACTGGAAGATGAAGAAGTAAGTTCTGGGTTTTCTGTTTCATCCCATGTTTTAGTTTTGCTTACAGGGTCTGGTGGGAAGGCTTCATTATCGCTGTTGTTTCTTTAGGTGCGTCAGGGATTAAAAACGTTCTCAAATTGGCCAACCTACCCGCAGCTGTACGTGAAAGGGGATCTTGTTGGAGGATTGGATATTGTCAAGGTGAGCGCTTTTCATTGCCATTCTCAAGAACTGAAGTATTTGACATGATTAAACATCCAACTTTAGTAATGTCTGGGTCCTCTTTACTTCATCTTCACACTAGCATCCTCTGTGTATGTGTCTTAGTGTCTCATGCTTTCTCCTGCTCTGAGCTATCTTCAAATGCTAGCTGCCAGTGAGAGTTAAACTTTGTAGCTGAGTGTCCAAATGAACTCAGAGGACCCTGCTATGCTAACTGCAACGTAGCTTCCTTCCCTATTTTCTTGCCTATCAGTCCATCTTTACCTGGTTCCCTTAACTTTAGGTTTTCTTATGTCATCTATGATTAAATCTTTATCCTTCAGGGCTCAACTTCTTTGTAAATGAGTGCATTCTTCCTGCCAGAAACAGCTCTCTGCTCCAAAATTCTTTTTTCTTTTTCTTTTTCTTTTGTCTTCTCTTCTCTTCTCTTCTCTTCTCTTCTCTTCTCTTCTCTTCTCTTCTCTTCTCTTCTCTTCTCCTCTTTTTTCTTTTCTCTTTTCTTTTTAATCATAAATGTTTCTCTGGGCCATTTTCCTTTTCTCTTGATGGTGCTCAGGTGCAGGAGTGAAGATGAAGACTAGGAGATCATGGGCCAGAGTTTCTTGGCCACCATGCCATAGTGGCTATAGGTCACCTCTGCTAAGTGCTAGGACTCTGTTAGCTGTTATAGTGTAATCATGTTTAAAGTGGGTACTGTATATTATACACTTCTTATTTTTCTGTTGAGACAAGGTCTTATTCTGTAATTTGGGCTGGCTTTGAGTTCCTTCTGTAGATTGCGTTGGGCTCGTGGCAGTCTGTCTGTCTCAGCCTTCCTAGTGCTGAGATTACAGGTGTGAGCCACTACACCTGTCCTTATATTCCTTTGTTTTGTTGTTGCTCTGTACAGCCCTAGATATCCTGGAACCCACTCTGTAGACCATGCTGACCTCGAACTCAGAGATTGCCTATTTCTTCTTCCTAAGTGCTGAGATTAAAGGCATGTGCTACCACCACCCAGCAATGGGATTTCTTATCTACTAGTAACCGTACTTACTAGCTCTGTTGGTTAATGCAAACTTATAAAGGCAGCTTTGATAGCCCCACTCTATCCCACTGCCATCCACCTTGGTCAGTGTGTTGAGGGTGTGAACTAGCTAATTGTGGGACAGCTTAGCTCCTTCTCCAGGCCTAAAGACTGCCCTTAGGCCTTCTGATTGTTCAGGAAAGTTTCTCAGAGTTGTAAGTGGAAAACAATTTTGTAAAAGTAGTTAGCATTATGAAGTAAAAACTTTTAAAACAGGCTTTTATAATGTGGAGAAACTCAGTATCTGGAGCAGCCAACATATCTATGACATCAGGACTGGAGGAAGCTGCAGGGCCGCTTTGTCTTGCTCTTACAGGGCAGGCTTTGTGTTCTACCAAGTGCAGAGTTTGATGTGAAAATAAGGTAGGAAAAAAAAAATAAGGTAGAGATTCAGTTTTTATAGTAAATGGTATAAAGGAGGAAAAGAAAACTAGCTTTTACTAGCCCTGAAACAACAAGGCAAGTATACATTTGTTACTTTAATATCTAGGTCCACACACATCATATGTAAGTAGATATCTTAATAAGACACAAACTGTCTTTAGATCTCAGATGTTTTTGAGTCTGTTCTTGCCTGAATGTCTCACTGCCCATGCCTTAGGCAAGAGGTATTGGGAGACCAGGAAGTAGATATAACCTTTTGAATACTGTATGACTTTATGATCTCTGTTTAGAACACTTACAAGTTGATGCTTCTCCTATTTTTTCTTGAAAGTTTGTGGAGCTATAACTTTGTGTTTCCTGAAGAGTGAAGTTGTTATCTGTTCATTAATCACATTCTATATGGTAATTTTGATTAGCCTCTGTTCGAGCATTGGTACTTTTTGTGGACTGAGTCAGTAACTCAAGTGACTTGTTCAGTCTGGTATCCTGGAAGAGGCAGCTACTAACAGGCACTAGACAAACCGTGGAGTGCTTGAACTTGGACCTTTGGTTGAATGACTTAAAATGCCTAGCAAAGATGTGTGAGCTGCCTCTTCTCAGCAGAGAGAAGCTCTCCTGTGCAGTCTTGGAAGGAAAGATTCTTCTTATTATGTAGAGTTCATCCACTTTCCACCATAGCTTAGATACAAACCTGAAAATCAGAAAAATGGACTGATGTAGCAGGGTGTTAGTTTGTGTGAGGAGAAGACCAAATACTACTGAAGACTACCTGATCTGTTATGTCTGACCTGTGGTTACCTTGACTCAGTCGCTTTGTGCTCACTAATCTGTTGGTCTAGAACACCCTTTTAACTTTATAATCTGAGATTATTTGCCAGCCCTCCCATCTTTTGAGTTCAACATGTACAGATTCAACCACTTAAGATAAGAGGTTTATTTATTTATTTTTATATTTTTATTTTTAATTTAACCTGTAGAGGTCATACCTGGTGGTGTACATGCCTTTAATCCCAGCACTTGACTTGCAAAGGAAGGCAGATTTCTGTTAGTTGGCTACTTAGTGAGTTCTGGAACAGCCAGAGCTACATGATGAAACTCTGACTCAAATTTTTTTTTTTTTAAGTCTGTAGTGAGCATGTACTGAGGAGTCCTTTCAGTTGTCATTTCAGGAAGAGAAACAAACTATGAAGAGGGAAAATGAAAACTCTTTTCAGTGTGATCTTTTTTAATCTGGATCAAACTTTGGAGAGTCTGATGCCAGGCAGTTTATTGACAACAAATTTAAACCTAGGATAATATGGAAAAAGGTTTCCTGGTACAATATAGTTCCCAGTACACAAGAAAGCATAATTACATTGAAAGAACTCAAAGTACATGTCATTTCTTCCAAGAAGATAGATTATAGAGTTAGGCTACCTGTACTAGCTTGAGGGCCTAAGGAAGGATCTGTCTTGGTCTCATTCATATAGATAACGTAGAACAGTTATTTGGTCTATTAGACACCTCGGGTCCTGGTTGGGGGAGCTTGGGGAGCCTCTGACTATATAGATAATATAAGGGTCATTTAAACTATTAGGTATCTTCAGTCTTGTAGAGGCTTGACATGGCCCGGCTTAACAAATGTTGCAGATCACTGGACTATTAATACCATCTAGCTCCTAGTTTCCAGGTGGAAGAACAGATTTTACGTATTTTCCTTTGAAAAGAGTCTTGCATGCTTAACATTCCCAGTTTCCCTGGAGATCTGTATGTGCAAGGACCTTCATGCTCCCAACAATGTATCAGTGTTTTTTCCATGTCATTATTTCCCAAGCAACACAGCACAGTGACATTTACATCATAACTTGAAGACCAAGTTCAGTATGGGAGTGGTGTGGGCTGTGTCTTTGTTGTTTTGTTTTGCTTTTCAAGACAAGGTTTCTCTATGTTAATATCCCTGGCTGTCCTGGAACTTGCTTTGTAGAACAGGTTGGCCTCGAATTCATGGAGATCCAGTTGCCTCTGTTTCCTAAGCGCTGGCATTAAAGGTTGTATATTACCATGCCCAGCTGGCTGTCTTCTACATACTATTTTCTATAAGGAGTGAGCCCACAGTCAGTCTCCATGAATACAAAAAGATGACTCTTTTTAGCTTGAAAATAAATTCTAACTTATAGTTTGTATTCAGTTTTACTTACACAGAGAGGAGGGGAGGAGAAGACTTGAACCCAGGGCTTTGGCATGTTAGACCACTGTTCTATTGTTGAGACTTGTATTCTATTTTATGGTGCAAGAATGTTGGCATGTTGAAAGCTTGTAGGCTAAGCTCAGTAGGTGTCCTTTTAGTGTCAGATACAGGTAAAAGCTTGTTGCTTAGATTTTTTTTTGTATGACTATATACTCATATGCATATATGCTTTTTTTTTTTTTAATTTTTAGGAACTGAAAGACAACGGCGAATTGCTGCCTATACTGAAAGGAGAAAATTAGTAAATGTTATGCATGGTGTCCAAGGACTGCAAGAAGTATTTAATTACAGTGGAACAGTTGATGATTCCTGAAAAGTGGACTAGGAGTAGAAATGGGACTCACTCAGCTTTGCTCTGTGTGTTTCACAAAGTTGTGCTGAAGAAACATACGTTACATTTAACATGAAACATAGAAGGCAATAAACTTCAAATTCAGCTAAAAATGATTGTGTGTTAAATGTGTCTTTGTAGTGATGTTTGGGTGTAGACTATGTCTTTGCATTTGGTCACTGTCACTAATTCCTTTAAATCCCTTTCTTTAACACATGGGCCTTTTGTAGCAATTAGGAAAGACTTGTCAGGAAGTGAAGGTCTCTCACATCAGTGTGCTTTAGCGCTTAGAGAACTCTTGTGCCAGTCCAATGGCTCCCCTCACTGGCCAAAGAGCTCTTCACAGCCTTGGAAAATGCAACCAAAAAGCTTAAACCAAAAAGCTTCTCCTGCTGGCGGTGATGCGTTCTGCACTGGCTGCTGTTTATCCACACTAACTGCAGAGAGCTGGACACCCTGCCCTAACATCCAGAAGAGGGAGCAGTAGTGACCAAGACTAAGGCAGCACCATGCAGTCGTAAAAGATTGTAAATTATTTTCATCATTGCAGTGAATGTGCTAATTCTGCCCTCTGGTAGACAGAGCCATGAAAAATTTTAATGTATTTTTTTCCACCCTGACTTTTGAATATGTGAGAAACACTCGTCCCATTAGGCTTCCTGCACAAGCCTTACGTAGGATTTCTAACTTCTCAGCTGTGGGTCTGGGTACTTGCTGCCTGTGGGATGTTGGTCTTAAATGATCATGGCCGGCTGCTCTGGGCTGTGAGGCACTGTGTAGCAGAAAAGAAAGGGTGTGCCAGTCAGTGGGATAAAGGCAGCCAAGCAGGGAGTGAGAACCCAGGCTCTCCAGCATTCTGCAAGGCTGCCTCTTAACCTGGGTCCCCTTGTGCTGTGATGCCTAAGGTGGAAGGATCGAAGCAGCACAGGGGTTAGAGGTGTTTGGGTCCTGGTTTTCTAGGGTTAAGATGCCTATGCGGGATTTTATGTAAAACAAGACTCTTCATTTCCACTGAGGTGAAAATCATTGTGTAAGTAAAACTTTTAAATGCAGATAGATGTGAATATCTTGAGTTCTTAATCAAGGTTTGCCTTCCTGTGTGCCTCATGGCTGTATTGAGTACTTTCCTGTTGCTGAGACAAAACAATGTGACCAAGGTAGTTTCTAGAAGAAAGGATTTATTTGGTCAGGGAGATACACGGTAATAAGCCGTAGATGTGGTGTCTTGTGCAGAAACTGAGCACTCACAACTTGAACCTTAAGCATGAAGCAGAGAGAAGGACGTAAATGGTGCAAGCCTTAAACTCTGATCCCCAGACCTGACTTCCTCAGATAAGGAACCTCCCTAACAGTACAATCAACTGGGGACATTTCTTACTCAAACCATCTGCAGGAAGACTGGTTTTCTTAGTTTCCCAAACTGCAGTTACTTGTACATGGCCTTTGTGATTGCTTTTAAATCTACCAGTGTCTCCCATTTTATTCCAGTACAACATTCATCCTCACCTTATGCTAAATGACCTAGTTTCATTTCTGTTGTTGTGATAGAACACCAGACAAAAGTAACTTGGAAAAGAAATGGCTTATTTGGCAAGAACAGGGTGAGAATGAATGCATGCATACCTTGTGGCTCTTTACAGTTCAGGGCCCAGTTCATGGGAAGGTGCCACCCATGGTGCTCTTTCCGCCTCAGTGACCCTAATTAAGATACTCCCTCACAGACATACCCACAGGCCAACCTGGTCTGGAAAGTCCTTCAATGAGATTTTTAGGTGGTTATAGGTTATGCTAAGTTGACAAGACTAACCAACACATACCTTTGTGACTACAGATTTATAAAGCAGTGTTGGCCCACATTGAAATAAGATGTGTAACTTTTAACACAAGTAGCCACTTCCACCTTAAATATATTTTTATTTGCAAAATTCCTACAACAGATTTTGACCATGTTTGCCCTCTACTCTTCTCCCCAGCTCCTCCCAGGATCACTTATCCTTCCTAGTCCCTTTGTGTCCTATTTCCTTCCTTCCTTCCTTCCTTCCTTCCTTCCTTCCTTCCTTCCTTCCTTCCTTCCTCCCTCCCTCCCTCCCTCCCTCCCTTCCTTTCTCCCTCCCTCCTTCCTTCCCTAGCTTATTCTTTTAGTCTCTAATTTGCTCTCTTGACCCAAGGTAAGTGGGGATAACAGACAGGGAGACATTGGGGTGGCCAAGAGATCTTGGCTGATTGTTATTAGATACGGAAGAATCTGGGGTCCAGTTCAATTTTCATTGTCAGACTTTCTAACAGAAGAGAGTTTTGTGAATGGGTTGTAGACAAGCCTACTTTTGTAGAAACCTTTGGTCAAAGTTGAAGTCCACTTAGTTCTAGAGGCTCCGTTTCCAGCATCTGTGACATCACTTTCTGAGGAAAGACTGCAGTGTTGTTTGGGTTTTACTGGGTGCCTGTTGGAGGAGACTTCAAAGTGTGTGCTGTGTGGATCTGGGCAAGTTTGGACATGTTTTTGTAGACAGGAAGGTCCCTCGGGGGTGTTCCTAGGTGGATCTGGTATGACTGGCTCCTGCAGCCTCCAGGGGTTAAGAGGTAAGGCTTGAGGACTGCCAGCACTAGTGTGTGACTCAACAGAGACTTAAGCTACTGTGCCTTAATTTACCTGTCATCAGGGAAACCAGTTCTACAAGCAGGATTCTTCTAGAAGGTACTACTGGCTAGGTAGGACTTCTAGGGCTCACACTACTGGTTTGTTAGTGTGTTTATGTCTTAGAATAACTTAATGACAGAAGGCATCTTAAGGATTGCTCTCTGCTTTGGGAGATAAGCCTGTAGGAATGGGCTTTCCTCCTCAAACTGCTTTTTGTAATAAGTGGAGGGTGGAGCTCGGGTGGGAGGGGTCAAGGCAGTGGGTGAGATTTTCCTTTGTAGTTGGGACATTGGGGGATACCAATCTGCTGGAGTGTACAGCCATATGGATAGGGCTCAACTTCCCATGTGTGTGACTCACAAACTCGAAGCGTACGCTCTGGCAGAGATGTGTGTTAAGTTACTCATGGCCATCAAGGTTCTTGCCCTTGTTGCTTTCCCAGCCTTCAGAGACATTTGTTGCACACAACCAAGTGGCTCTTAGGACTTAATAGTGACCTCCTAACGTCAGGGTTGACCCAGTCTTGTTCTGCCTATAGTTGACTGGACAGGCCGTGACAGTGGAACTGTGACAGCACACCTGACAGGTGCTTCCACCACAGTGGGAAAGGCAGGGCACCTGCAGCTAGGAAGCAGGGAGAGATGCATGCTGCTACCCACCTGGTCAGGATTCTCCTGTTTTGTTTGTAACAGTTTGAGAGCTCAGCCCAAAGCATGGTGTCTACATTCAGGGCTAAACCTGGAAACACTTTTACAGATACACTCAGAGTTGTATCTCATAGGCTATTCGAAATCCAGTTAAGCTGACAAGATGAACCCCGTAGGCCCTCTGCTGAAATAACTGGGTGTGCCAACTTGGAGGATCTGAGCTGTGTGGTACAGTGGACCTTCAGAACTGCCCCTGAGCTCCAGGCTACAGCCCCTCACTATCCACTGTCTTCCTTGCCAAGTCCCACAGCTTTGGCTTCTCCAGAGGCCAGACTCAACTGGCATATTCTGTCTTTGCAAAAGTGCTTATTTAATCCTACTGAGCACTTTGAAGTTTAGATTTTTCTTTATTTTTTTTAACAGCAAACATGTATATATTCATTTTAATAACTAAGTTATGTAAGTGACTGCCCAGTACGTGGCCCCAAAGGTGACATCTGTCACCTCTCTCAAGGCCCAGGGAATATTCCAGAAGAGGGAGTGAAATTACTAGGAACTGACTGAAAGATACTACAGTCTAGAGGGTAGGAGGCGGGGCTAGATGGGAAGAAGGATTGGGAGGAGGAAGGGAATGAGTGCATGGGTATGACTTATATGCAAGAACAATGTCAAACGTGAAATGATATTCTCAGAAGTCATCTCCGAAATAGTGTAACATGTTCAAAGTTCGTGGTTTATGCAGAGGTTCACACAGAACACCCATGTAGACAACTGAAACTTAAAGCTTAAGATTGGCTGGGCTTGCTGACACACGTGCAGTCTGGGTACTCGAAGGGTGTAGGCAGAAGCATCGGGAGGTGGATGGAGGAATTAGCGAGAGATACATGAGACTGTCCCAAAAGGCACCAAGCAAAGGCTGGGAAGAGGGCTTAACAGCACACACTGCTCTTGTGGAGGACCCTGGTTTGATTCCCAGGACCCATGCCAGGTGTCTCACAACTGCATGTCTGTCCTCATAAACACATGTGCACATACCTACGCCCAGACAGACATACGCACAAAACCGAAAATGAAATTCTGAAAAAGCGAAAACAAATATGCTTAAGATTACAACCACGTAGATTTCATTTTCTGATTGAATTTTGAAATAATTCTTAAAAATGACCACTGGGACTTGTTACCAAATTCAAACATTTCTTGAATAAAAACAACTTAGTTCTTTGCAAATCTAGTGCCCCTCTCATGACCTGCCTCTGAGGCTAGGTTGTAGGAAAGGCTCCAGCTGACGTGGCTCACGGAGGCTTCATTTGCCGCTGTGTGTCTCCACAACTTGCTGTTATCCCCACATACACAGCTCTGTTGCATAGTCACAATGGTCAGATTTGAAGAATTCTGGTTTTGGGACTTTATAAAGGGATAGACATAGATCAGGACATGCATCCTTGTCCCAAGCCTGGTAACTGCAGGAGGAATATTGGTGTGCGAAGTTCCTCTGCTATGAGAGCTGCTGTGACTTTTTTTTTTTTTTTTTTTTGCATTTAGATTTGTTTACTATATGTGCATGTGTGTTTTGTCCTCCTATATCCATCTGGGTACCACGTGTGTGCTTGGTGCCTGTGGAGGTCAGTGTGTCAGATTCCCTGGAACCAAACTCATGGCTTCTGTAAGAGCAACAAGCATTCTTCACTACAGAGCCATCTCCCCACCACACTATTTATTGTGTTTTTAAATACAGGGATCCCAGGCTGGGGCGGGATAGCCTTACTGGTGGCTTTCTTCTGCCTCTGCCTTCTGTGTGTGCCATTCAAGCCAGGCACATGATGTCCAGCTC